CTATTTTATTATTTGGTTATTTTAGTAGACTAAAATTTTTTTATGTTTAGAAAGATGATTGAATTTTTTTATAATTAAATGTGATGTTTGTGAAAAAAAAATGATTATGGGTTTAAGGTGACATTTTATCTTATTAGCTATTTTAGCATATTTTGTATTTTTATGAATTTTAATCTAAAAGAGACTAAGGCCTTATTTGGTTTGTTTTTCAGAAAAAATTTTGAAAAAAATTCTCTGCAAACAAATTTTCACGAGTAATCAAACCAAACAAATTTTTTTTAAAAAAAATCCAAAATTTTGTTTGGGTTTTTTCCAAAATCACTATCTCTTTCATACACATCAAATCAATCATTTTTTAAAAAAAATTTTCTCCAAAACAATTTTTCAAAACCATTTAAAAAAAAAAACAAACCAAATAAGTTTTCGTACTTTTTATCACAAAAACTACTCTATAAACATAAACCAAACACACTCTAAAATTTTTAATATTATGTGATATTTTATTTTATTAATTTTTTAATTTATTTATCTTTTATAATTAAAATAGTAAAAAAAAATATAAAATAAAATAAGGCCAAGTTTGGGAAGACTAAATAAGTGTACTTTTTGACTTTTCTTATATTATGTGTAAAAAAAATAGAGAGAAGATGTTAATTGATGTGACCTAAAAAAATAAAAAGATAAAATAAATGCACTTTTTTAGTTTAGCCAAACTTAACTTAAAATAATTGTCGTACCAAAGATAGCGAGAAGAAAAATGCTTGGGAGCACTAATTAGTGCTCCCACTAATTAGGTGACAGTGAGTTTCGTCATTAATAATGTGATGTTTTGATTTTGGAGTTGTATTTTTTTTTTTAATACATTAATGCTATTAGTGGTTGTGTTTTTAGTGAGATGAATCATTGTTGATAGCGAGAATAGCCATGTACTGAAAAAACCATCTGAAAAGGTCTGCAAACTACTCTGCCTTATGCCTCAGTTCTTGGGATTTGAGTCCTCCAAACTTACACAGATCAATATTGCTACGATCATCGAAATTATTGACCCCAAATGTAACTAGGAGTTTTCTTAAGTGTGCAAGTGCACACCATGTGCCATTTACACAAAAAGTGTAAATGTAAGGTGTAAGTATAAGTATAAGTATAAGGTGTAAGTGTAAGGTATAAGTGTAAGGTGTAAGGTGTAAGTGGGTTGCACATGGTGTGCAACCTCAAAAAAGGTGTAAGTTTAATTTTTTTAGATTCACCTTACTTAGGATTTGTTTGGAAAGATGGGTTACGGCTAAAATAATCATATTAGACAAAATAGGCTATTTTAACTTAATAAGATAAAATATCACATTTAATCAATAATCATTACATTTTTCTCTTACAAAAAATCTAAAAAAGTCAAAAAAATCAAAAAGTCCTTCTCAAACGAGATTTTTTAACCCCAAACTAAAATAGTAAAAAAACCAACCCACTTCCTAAACGAATCCTTAGATATATTTAAAAAGTAAAAAAATTATGAAAAAATATTTTAAAAAATTAAAAAATACAAAAAATGTTTGAATTTTCATATTTTTTTTTGTATTTTTGGTATTTAGTAAATTTTTAAAAGATTTTTTTCACAATATATATTTTTTTATTTTTTAGGTATATTTATGTTAGGTATGTCTAAAAAGTAAAAAAAATTACTTAAAATATTAAAAAAATTCAATAAAAATAAAAAAATATGAAAAATAAAAAAATAAAATTTTCTGAAAAGTATTTTTGACAAAAGAGTGACCACGTAAAGTTAATTTTTGTTTTTTTGGTCACCTATAATAGATTTTTTTATTTAAAAATAATTATTAAAAAAATTACTGAAAATAAAGAAGTGATATAAAATAATCAACAAAACATGCAGGGTAATGTTTAAGTGTGCAACCCCCTTACGGTTGCACACCATATGCAAGGTGTAAATGTAAGGTTGAGCATTATTGTTTACACCATAGGTGTAAATGTAAGGTCGTAAATGCCTTGCATACCATATGCAAGGCACACTTAAGAAAAGTCCAAACATGTAATACACAACTGATCTTAGAAAGAAAATTCTAGAGGGAAGTTCTGATTGGTGTGGTTGGACGTACAAGATTCATTATGAGTCTTATTCGGTTGATTTGAATAGTTTATTTTGTAATTTTATAAGTCATTAATAAAAAAAAATTAAATTAATTTAGGTGTCGTTTGGTAATATTTATATTTTCAGTTTTTTATTCATATTTACAAAAATTTAAAAAATTCAAATAAAAATTTGTTTGATAAAATTTTTGATTTATAAATCAGTAGTCTCAGTTTATAAATTTGGCTAAAAAATATGTTTCTATTTTGAGTTTTCAATTTTTTTTTACTACCCAACACTAGCCACCACTCGCCACCATTTTCCACCACCGTCTTCCGCCACCACCACCCACCACCCACCCCCACCACCACCCACTCGCCACCCACCTGCCACCACCACCCACCCGCAACCCACCTACCACCACCACCACCCACTCGCTACCACTTAC